TGATGCTCTCAAGAAAAACAGTCACAACAAATGTCGTTACACAGGTAAAACCAATTAAAATTATAAATTATTTTTTAGTAACGTCATACATTCATTTGATGGTACATTTTTCATTTGAATATCCATCGTTAATTGTACATATTATTGACTTGTCATAGTCAGATTCTTAAAAATAAGAAGAGAAAATTAAAACCAATATAAATATTATATAATATTTAGCAAAGCTAGTCCCTAATAAAATATAAGATGTTTAGAGAATTTTATAATTTTACAATACACGGTTTTTAGGAGAACAGTTGCTATTCTTGTTATGAAAATTCAGAGCAAACAATTTAATAATTCGGAGATGTTCTTACATAGATTCAGCAAACATACATCCAACTAACCACATATCAACCGCATATTTATAATGAGTAGCTCAAAACAACAATTCTGGAGCATATACCACTATATTATTTGTTATTTGTATTTGAGTACCCAGTTCATTGATGAATAAATTTCCAGTTTTTATATCCTATTTTATTTTATACGATAAATTAATATATTTAAAAGTAAATGATATTACTCTACAAATTATATCCATCTTTTTATATCAGAATGTTGAAATCCTTATTTCGTATTAAGTTTTCCGAATTCTATTTTGAATATTTCAATATTATATGTATATATAATTGTAGAATAAATATATTCATCATTTAATATAGTACATTTATAAAAACAATCATTTTAAGCATCATATCCATTATTATTATTAAAGAGATGAATGATTTCTATATTCATTAATTAAATACTTGATAACAAGGATATTATTGTGTTCTCTATGATAATCTAGAATCTATTCTTGTTCTTATTACATTAAATTATTATTAGCATCAGCATTACTGTATAATATAATAGTGTATCTATTCAAATAACTGTATTTTACTCGAATCATATTTTTATTATTAATTATCTACTTTCTCTATTGATCAATTACTTGCTTTAGTTCGATATTACTGAACTATATTAGATGATATCTTTCTAATACATTAAATACTGCAGAATGTCTTATGATATTCGGTCAAATAGGGTATGAGTGAAGAATCTGATGCAAAATTCTGACTTTTCTACCTGGAGGCTAAATGAGAGAATATTGGAAAGGAAGTATACAAATCATTTGATAAATGCTATATAATACATCCTTATAGTAAAAAGCTTATCACTTAAATAGATATCTTGCTATGTCTAGAGCTGAGAATTATAGACCTATCTCTGTTAAGTTTTATCTAATAAAATTCATTTAATCATTTTATGTAAAACAGTTTACAAATAAGAGTTTACAAATAAAAGTTTGCAAATAATTTTGCCAATAAGGTTGGATTTTAGATAAAAATTCTAAAATTTAATGCAAATTGATGAAGCAAAGAGTACAGATATAAGCTTTCATCAATTATAAAGATAAAAATCAGTCTGGAAGATATAAATATTCTATTCAGAATCTTTCAAAATATGAATTATAGACTTATAAGTGACTATAGAAATGATTCAGACATTAAAATTGGACGTATCAAACTTTTGGCAATTCAGAAAGTGAATACAAATCAGTTACCACTTATCTAATACGGGATTTATCCTGAATAGTTAGCTATCCAGCGGAATAAAAATTTATATAAAGATATGAAAAAAATGTAATTTTAGATTCTTGAGAAGAATTGTGGTGAAATATTTGAAATTTGTTACATTTTAAATAAAAAAGATTTGTTAAACATGTGTATAAAATATTGTTTTAAGATTATGAAGTGTAAGACAAGTAGTTAAAGTGATTAAAGTGAGCATAATCTAATTTAATATAATATTAAGTCAGGGTATAATAATTTATTAACAAATAATTCATTATAAGGAAAAAGAAATAAATTAGTGGCTTCACAATCTATAATCTAAAAGTGCAATAATTATAATTTTGAAGGATAATCATATTTTAATAACTATTTTATTAAGTTATTTAGGTCAAGTTGATTAAGATATTTTTTTAGATTGAGTTAAATAACTAAATAAGAATAAGATTGTAGTCTAAATTTATTAAATTTCTAAAATGTTTAAATTATGTAAATATAAGTATCCATAGAGTTTTTATATTTATACTTTTCTATTCTTACTAAAAGAGAACCACTAATATTAAACCAGTTTTAGGATCTATTGTAATGAAAACCATTGCTTTGCTTAATACTACAAAATAACCTTTTTTTATTTTATTAAATTAGAAGTTTTGTTTTTCAGATTATAGTATAGAAGTAGATGAAGTTAAAATTGAGACAGGAGGCAAATACAATTATGATATTAAATTTATTTAAAGGCTTAGTAATTGTCTATGAATTAAAAGGAGATATATCAGAAAGAGTCAGTTAATAAATACAATATCGATAATCAGTTTAGTAATGTATGAAATGAAAGAATTTAGTATTACTGTTTAAAATACATTTACAAACTCATAATTTTATTTTTCACTTGTTCTAATTAAAGTTCGATTGATTATTGAAACACCAAAAAAGAAAAAGAAAGTTCTCTCTATGGCAAAGAATTAATGATAAAGATGTAAGGTTAAAAAGCAAAATTATTTATAATAAATCAATTACTAAATGATTTTTATGCATATTAATTGATAGAAAAAGGAAAGGAATCATAATCAGAAGGAAATTGTACATTCGAACAGGAAATAACAATCTAATAATAAACAATATAAGAGTAAAAATTCAATATTAATCTTGTTATTAGTGGTTAATTTAGATGATTTATAACCTTTACTGAAAATTTTGATTATAGATGGTAATTAGATAGTAGAGTTGATTTAGTAAAAGCTGTAGAATTTTATATAGAAGTAGCTAATGAGAATATGTAGGTATTTAGTTTTGCCAAAAAGATCATCAACATATTAATTAGTATTTTAACCACTTTTGTAATGATGATCAAAGGGAATTATTAAATTTTGTCATTCTAAAATTGGTGAAATATGGTATACATTAAATCGAAGATTAAGAAGGAATGAATTAGGAAAATTATATAAATTAGATAAATGAGAAATGCTACTTGAAAATCTAACCTGCAATTTTATTGTTGCAGAAATTAAAATAGCAATACTATAAATTTCTCTTTAGATCAATAGTTAATTTTGGAATCTTATACTTTGAAGTCGTATATCTTGTATTCGTTCATTCAGTTCTTGCATGTCACTCTAATAAAATATAAATTAAGACCCCTACTTATTTTTAAAAGACTCTTTAAAAGCATAGTAGTCAGTTACTTTAGAAATTGAATTAACGCACAATATTGATAAATGTTTCTTGATGTAAAATCTTATTTAGTCTAATAAATCTTAGCTGTGCTGTTGGTAATGTGAATATTTTTGTTAAAATTAATAATCATTTTGCTAATTTATCAGCCATAGACAACTATGTTAATAAAGTGTGTTTTAAGTGGAGGTAAAGAACATTATTAATAACAGTTTTAGAATCTATATATCCATTAACATCCACAACTTTAAAATCAAATAAGCATTAAAGAGATAAAAATGATATTTATTGGCTTGTAATAAATAAATAACTTGATTAAAAATTTTATGTAATAAAAGGCAATTAAATAGTTTTGTTAAAAATAAACTAATATTTTCAAAAATACTTATTGTTAGTGTTGAAATATAAGATTATCAGAATTCCAAACCTAAACCCAAATAAAAATCATTTATGGAACCAGTTGTGATAAATGATTAAGGTTCAGATGTTATCGAAGTTTTAGATATTGAAATTTTAATAAGCTAATATAAACCTTAAATGATGACACATATATAAATTATGTTTAAATTATCTATATTTAAATGTCTATCTAGAATTATTCCGATGTAATTTCTTAGTAAAAAAGAGTCAATCCTTAATAAATACAAGTTTAATAACTGTCTTTTTAATAAAATTTAAGATCCCAAAATCCATTACTAATATTTTAATAAATGTTAAGCGGTTAAACTCAACTATCAAACAAAACTTAATTATTTAAAATCTTTTCTGATATAATTAGAATACTTTTTATTATAAGATTATTCCTAGCCTTCAAAAAATAAGCAAGACTAATAATGTAATGTGACTGCTACACCAAGCCAACTTGAAACCATTAAAAACAATTATTTATTATAAGATTTTTTTGGATCTATTTAATGGAATATAATCCAGATAATGTTATTAATAAATCATTTCCATTATGAATTCTGGTCTTGCTATTCTCTCCTTCTTCTATCTTCTTCTTATTGCCTCTCATATTCCCTCTATCTTTATCTTTCTTCTTCCAACTTCTCCTTTTTTCTTTATATTTTTCTATCCCTTTCACTTTCCTTATACTATCTATCGAACTCTTCTTGATTTAATTTTCTAATTGTTTCAGCTTATTGCTCACTATTTCCCATTTTTATATTTTAATTAATAATTTACTCTTTGAATATTAAACAGTTTAGAACCAAAAAAATATTCTATTATATTGTAATTGTTATTGTAAAAATATAATTCTAATCTCAATTTTATTGAACATAAAATTTAAATTTACTTTTTTTGATAACTCATCTAATGAAGAGCATTAATATTAAAATTGTTTAAAGTAGAAAGGTAATTTAGAGAATTTATTCATATTGAGACAGTATTTGAATGATAAAAAATTTTCATTTTTTCTTACAAAATTAACCTATTAAAATTTATATGAGTATATATAATTAAATTTTGAGGAGGAGTATGCAAATTAAGTTCCTGAAAGATTAGTTTATAAGAAATAGAATTAAATTAAAGAATAAAAAGTTTAAATTGATGTGATTGATAGCCCCCTTAAAATTATATCGCTTTCTAAAATTTAAGCTATTTTGTTAATAAAGAATCAAAAATTTCTTTATCTTTTACATCAACATTAAATTATATTAAAATAAATATTTTATTGAAATTATTTATTATAGTAATTATTTTTAATTATTAATTTATCATTGTTTTAAATCTAAGTTTGTTCCTTTTAAAAATAATTGAAAAATTTATTAAGCATCTTGTGGCTAAAAACTTAAAAAATCACTCATCCATTCCTACACTAATTTAAATCCTATATACTTATTATATTTTCGAAGTTTTGATCTATCCAGATGTATCCAAAAACTAATTACATCTAATAAATATTAGCTATCATCGTTATTTTCTTATAATACCAACAATTCCTTTTTTACATATATAATAAAGAAATCTTCCAAAATTAATCTAATTCATGAGAATTGATATCCCAACCCTGAAATTAACATAAAAATCTTCCTTCACCTATAAATATGACTTTGAATTAACTTTTCTATTTAATTATTTATTTTACATAAAATAAAGTATATGGCAAAAATTGTTATTCAACCTTTTTCCAAATATGATTTGTAAGAATTTTTTTATTTGACAGTGCTTTTTAAAAATAATTCACCTTTAGACTTTCATTTAAAATAGGAAGAAAATAATCAAGTGAAATTGAAAAATATTTTCATTTATTATGTTTCAATTATCGTATTGATCTAAATTTTCTTGTAATTCGAATTATTAAAATATTTATTTTAGGAAATACTCGAGAATTATAAGTTCGATGAGAATTTATTTTAATTACTAATAAAATATAGTTTATTTTGCTTTTAGCTAATTATAAATTATATCATATTCATAATCTCTAAAGTTTCAGATGTTGATCACAAACAAATTCAGATTGCTAAAATAAATTAAAGGAATTAATTAGAAAGTAATTTAAGTTTTTTTCTTTTCTTACCTTTAAATAAGGAGATTAGAAATTTTTTCTAAGTAATATTAATTGTTTAGGCCAAGATTGAGATATATTTTTATCATCAGTTTTATTAATGTAAGATTGTAACTGAAGAAATAAAAAGAAAAGATAATTTAATAGCTTCTGCAAGAGAAAGTTAGGAAAAAATGTAAGAAACTTATAATTTATTTATTGAAAATCTAACTTGATGGAAAGCAGAAAGAATGAACAATCAAACCTTTCATATAATTTAATTATTTAAGAAAAGAATTTAGTATTTAAAGATAAAATCTATTATGAGGTCATGAATAGGAAATATTGATTATAGTTATTTTACATTTTTGATCTATCATCAAATATTTGCTAAGTAAGTTTTGTATTATAATTAAATTGAATGCACATCTTGGATAAATTGTATGAATACTTCTACCGAATGTATAAGTTGCATTTTCTTAAATAAGATAAATGTTAGCAAGGCTAGTGCTTACCCTTTAAATTATTATAATCAGACTTATGGTTAATCTTTTGATAGATATTATCATAAGGATTATAAATGTAATAAATCCTAAAGTATTTGATATACATGTAAGATTAAAAAATCTGTTAAACATATATGTATAATTTAAACATTAAAATCATGTATTAAGAAGTAAAGTTTAGAAATTGAGGGTTAATCTTGATTTTTACCATTTAAAAGATTCAACTCTTATTAAAGTTTATTTAGCAGAGAAAATTATTATAATTTTTTATAGGGAACTTTTATTGAATAAATGTAAGTTCACTTGTTACTAAATGGCTTGCTTCTTACTCATTGATTATTAATAATATATTTAATTTTCAATATTTTTCTTAAAGAAAAAAAGTAGATAAATTCCTTTCAATTTTAGAGAGTGATTAGAATATTCTCAATTTTTAATATTTCCAATCACTAAACCATTTTACTTTTTAATTACAGAAAAAAATATTAAAATTTTTATTGATATTTTTTAAAGTCATTTCATTCATTTTTTCTAGATTTTTAGCACATTTAAACTATTAAAAATATCTCATATATACCTTTTATAAAATCTTTCAATATGAATAAACAAATATTTATAATCATATAATAGCAATCATCATCCATCCTATTTAAAATCTAATTTCTAAGGTTAGAAAACCTGTTCAAATTCTAAAGAAATAATTTACTATCTTCAAATACAAAGGCTGTAAATAAGATAATGATAATGAAGGAAATTACATTTTAAATAGTGAAGTTTTTAATCTGAATGAATTTTCATAAGTTATTAAAACAATATTTTAAATAAATTTATAAAACAATAGGGAAATAAATATTAATGTAAAATAGATTGTTAATGTATATAAAATATCCATAATAATCTAAAAGAAATTAAATCCTCCTAAAATTATGGCTGTAGGAACTATAAAATAAAGCATATCTCTAATTATGGGTTAAATATCACTTTTTTCTTAAGCTTATTAGACTTTCTTTTCTGAGCCAATAATATTTTGTGTATGTGTTTAAGATTTGTAACATCAATAGTTTTTTTAAATGAAAAATTGATATAATTAAGAGATCTGATCTTCATGTTATTTAAATTTATTAGAGGTTTTAAAATCATTAATCATATTATCTGAGGTATTAGGGTATATAAGTAGCATTAATTTAAGTTTATGGTATTTTAATACAAGTTGTTTAAGAACATGTATAATTTCCATTTAACATTAAAAATTATAATTATTTTCATTT